GTCCTGATTGTGGGAAAAGATTCAGTGATTATTCCACCCTTGTGATACACCAGAAGATTCACACAGGAGAGAAACCCTTTGAATGTGCTCTCTGTGGGAAAAGTTTCATTCGCAATTCCCATCTGGTGAAACACCAGATGACTCACACAGGAGAGAAACCCTTTGAATGTCCTGATTGTGGGAAAGGTTTCAGTCAGAAGTCCAGCTTTGTGAAACACCAGAGGACTCACAGGAGAGAAACCCATTCAAAGTCCAGTCTGTGGATGTTATTTCACTCATAAATCTTCCCTCATAAATCCACATGAGGCAAAAGTTGAAGAATTTAGAAAAGGATTGAAATTCATTTGTGATCTCCCATTGAAACTGTAGGTGAGAAATTGATTATTTGAATTGTGGTCTGAATCTTTTTATTCAAACATGTCTCAGGACTAGACTTGTATGTGGAGAGAAAAGGAAAATGGAAAAGGGCTAACTACCAATTTCTGGTTAGCAGCAGCAGCTACTGGATATTTCCTTTTGTAGAAGTTGTGGATTTCCTCAAAAAGGCTTCTGGGTGGTTGTTTTGTATATTGATAATATAATTCCCACATGAGGAGTTTCAGGTCTTCTGCCTTGGTTTCCTGCAGAGTTTGAAGGCCAGAAATCCTCAGCCAGCGTAGAAAAGGTCCTCAAGTTATAACTGTCATGGGCCTTGCAGTTATGGTTGCCTGTTGCAACGGCCATTAAGTGAGAGTACTTTCCTAAACTACCCTGATGTCTCTGATGCAGCCATTAAATGTGTCAGTCGCTAAGTGGAACACTGGCTACCTCAGGGTTGGGGAAAACTCTTGGAGGCCGAGTGTAGGCCCTGGTTTGCCTGTTGTACTCATCTCTAGGCCTCCCCCACCCTGTGCTCTGTTTCCCAACTCTTGTGCCGCCCAATTCTTTCCCACCCCAGGGTCTCCACAGGCTTTTTCTCCCTCCCACTGGGTCCCTGCACGCCTCACACCCTCCTCTTTCTTTTTAAGGTTTCTGATCCTCATGTTGGGGAAGGAAGGGAGGGTGTGCATCCCTGGCCCTTGGGACTGTGTCCTGGAAGCAGCCGTTATTTTCAGTGAGCCCTGGCTTCGTCCCTGGGCCATGCGGTGGACTTGTGGAAGCGGCTGCCATTTGGCCATACTGTCACGCAGAAGAGAGACAAACCTCTCATTTTTGCTACCTAACATGAGAAAAAAAATGTACACTTGAAAAGGTTTCATTGTTGATAAGGGAAAAAATGGGTATTTTCAATGTTGCTATGGACATTAGGTCAAGGGAAGTCGCTCAGAGTTGCCTCAGACGAGATAGGCAGTGATTAAGTTTAATAATGAATGAATTTAATAATAAAAAGATAATGTAAAGCTCATTACCCAACTCTTGCTCAGTGATACATACGGTGGGTTTCTAACATATACAATTGTTAATTTGTAATCTGTCTCTTGTGCAATATGCATCTCTAAGTAATCTGTTTTACTCAGCTTCCCTCCCTCCTCAATTATA